AAACAAAGTTTGGGAAGACTTATTGGTTTTGCTCAGTTCTTATTATTGTTATTATTCTTCTTCTTCTTCTTCTTCCTCTTCCGCCGCTTTTAAATTTGAACTTGTCCGCCTCCGTTCTCCAAAACCGCTTGTCAGATTAACTTAGGGTTTCACAATATGCTAGACTAACATGTCTAGTGGTGCAATCAAGGTTTTGTTTGTGCATTGGGGTTTATAAAGGGGTACTTTGAGGGGCAAAAAGAAAGGAGGGTTTTACTATAGAACCCTATGGGATTTTATTTGTTTAAATTTTCAAATGATTATAAATTGAAAACCGTTTGTGATAGACACAATCTTTTTAATTGAAAATGTTGTAAATGATAAAGCACATTAAATGAAATACAGGGTTAGTCCCCAGGGGTCACCCCCACCCCCTGCCATTTAAGAAAGTTCTAATATCTTTTAAATGGTTGAGATCCCCACCCCTAAACCATATATATTCTGGTTTGTCATGCTAAGATGGTTTGAATGATATACAGGGTTAGTCCCCAGGGGTCATCCTGACCCCCTGCCATTTGAGAAAGTTCTAATATCTTGTAAATGGTCGATATCCCCACCCCTAAACCATATATATTCTGGTTTGTCATGCTAAGATGGTTTGAATGATATACAGGGTTAGTCCCCAGGGGTCATCCCGACCCCCTGCCATTTGAGAAAGTTCTAATATCTTGTAAACGGTCCAGATCCCCACCCCTAAACCATATATATTCTGGTTTGTCATGAAAAAGCACATCAAATGAAATACAGGGTTAGTCCCCAGGGGTCACCCCCACCCCCTGCCATTTAAGAAAGTTCTAATATCTTTTAAGTGGTCAAGATCCCCACCCCTAAACCATATATAATCTGGTTTGTCATGCGAAGATGGTTTTAATGATATACAGGGTTAGTCCCCAGGGGTCACCCCCACCCCCTGCTATTTAAGAAAGTTCTAATATCTTGTAAGTGGTTAAAATCCCCACCCCTTAACCATATATATTCTGGTTGTCATACCAAGATGGTTTGAATGATATACAGGGTTAGTCCCCAGGGGTCATCCTGACCCCCTGCCATTTGAGAAAGTTCTAATATCTTGTAAATGGTCGAGATCCCCACCCCTAAACCATATATATTCCTGTTCATCATGTCTCAAACATTTGAATGACGTATACGGTCAGTCCCCAGGGGTTTCCCCCACCCCCAATGTTCTAATATCTTGAAAATGGTCGAGATCCCCACCCCTTAACCATATATATTCCTCTTCGTCGTGTCTCGAACATTTGAATGATGTATAGGGTCAGTCCCCAGGGGTTCCCCCCACCCCCAATGTTCTAGTATCTTGTAAATGGTCAAGATCCCCACCCCTAAACCATATATATTCTGGTTTGTCATGCCAAGATGATTTGAATGATATACAGGGTTAGTCCCCAGGCATCACTAATGCATATACTTTACTGGACCAAACCAATTTTTACTGGACTTTGTCCAATGTCAGGCGACACTGGGAATTTCGAATTATGGGAGCTTCGTTTGGGAGACTTCGTAACAGCATCCTGTTACAATCATTTCTTGTTTTACAAAAATTTTGCAGTTTTTTGTTATTATCTTAGATATCATTATAATATCTAATATCTAATACTATTAATTATGATTTTAACCTTATTTTACATGATTTCCAAAGCATCAGTAAATAAGGTGAGCAACACAGGCTCTTGAGAGCCTCTAGTTTATGTATGTCTAAAAGATTAATTCCGTAAAAGTAATGTACAATAGAACTTTGTTTACCCTCCTCCTGCAGGATTATTAAAAAAATTACAGATTTTTTTTTTAACATGGGGGAGGGGGGGGTATTTTTTCTTCCGCTACTAGGCATATTTTTTTCCTTTACGAATCCATAGGAGAAATGCGATGCCAATAGGATATATTTTGTTGAATAAAACGGTAGTTTTTATCCGATAGATTTTTTTGTTATTTTAATCGGATATAATAATTATTTTGATAAATACAAATAATTTATTGAAGTTTCGTATGCATCTATATCAAGATAAAAAAAAATACCGCACAGCAGTTTTGTCTGGTGAAGCGCACAATGTCAGTGTGAATTGCAAAACATGCTCTCTACCTGAAAATGCAAGTCATCCTATGAATAACATTAAATATGGTTTGCTGGCTGCTAAAACTGTGTATAATTTGTAAATTCAAACCGAAAATGGCCAAACTATATGTTATGCAACCTTATCACCAATGAATGGGATGGAGTTCTTTTTTTGCCTGTTTATGTACATTTATGATTTTGGTTTTTAATCATTCCAATTCCGTTACATCCAAGCATTAATTGCTGCGGAATAATACAGAATATATGATAAATCAATCAAATATACATGTAGTACGTTACTTTTGTCTCTCAAATTGGTTCAACATAATAAAATGTGAAATGTTAGGTCTTGTGTGTATACTTACCTATAAGGATCGCTTAGGCTTTATAGCTCAAAACAGTATGCCTAAGCACTTGGTGATTTTTTCTTCTTGAATAAATGAGGATAAATTCAGAAGTATGGAGTGAATTCGATACACTTTACATTTAATTTGTTAAATAATGAAATGTATGTTTAAAATATTTACACACTGAGTCTAAATTCGGCTTTGACGCCGGGAACACTGTCGTTAACAGTAAAAGACGAAAATATACACATGCAGGTCCTTATAAAAAAAGATGTGGTATGATTACCAATGTTCATTATAATATCATAATTAATACCCCCACTAAATAATGCATCTATAGTTGGTACTGGACGTTAAACAACCAACTATTAATTCATCCATCTTATCCTTTTAGGTTTGTGATTATTTATTTTATTCTCATATAATCTCCTTGATCAACTACATGCAAAAAACTGCAGATTTACGCTATAGTTAGGAGGCCGAAATTATTGCACACATAAAGAAAAACACAAAAAGACAACAACAAAAAACCAACACTTTACATATTCCATGCATTCAAAACGCTTTTCTAGATTAACTTTAACCAGGAATCTCAAAGATAGATATTTTAAAGCCAAAGAGCGTATAAAAAGGATAGGAGTGAAGAGCTATATGACCAATAAAGGAACTACACATTCGCCACATTCCTTATGTGCCTGACCAAAGTCCGGAGCATGTAGTTCAGTGGTTGTCATTACTTGAAGTCTATTACATTTGTTTTCTTTTGTAAATTGCTTTGTTATTATAATTATGCCATAAGTTTTCTCAATTGAATTGTTTCATATTTTTCATGTCGGGGCGGGGCCTTTTATAACCGACTTTACGGTTGCAGTATTTTTCATTATTGAAGGTCGTGCAGTTGCCTATATATAACCGCTTACATCTTCTTAATTTGAACTTTCTTGAACAGTTGTGTCATTGGCAATCATACCACATCGCCTTATTTTTTGGTGCATTGTTCGAAAGATAAACATATGCGAATTTCGGTGAAGAGATTTGGAATATCTTCGTTACATTAGACTTTGCATTTGTGTAAGAATTCTTTATTAATAATTCATTTTTGTCGAGCCTTCGACTTTTCTCGAAAAAGCGAGACATAGCGATCCTACAGTCCGTCGTCGGCCAATTGTCAATTTTAAAAAGAAGGGGGGTACATGTGCTCGTTTTTAATTAAATGTTAAAAGTAATTGGAAAACATGCATCATATATAGATTAGACCGTTGGTTTTACACTAGTCAATTTTGGGGACCTTTATAGCTTGCTGCTCGGTGTGAGCCAAGTCTCCGTGTTGAAGACCGTACTTTGATCTATAATGGTTTACTTTTATAAATTGTGACTTGGATGGAGAGTTGTCTCAGTCATTGGCACTCATACCACATCTTCTTATATCTTTTACATCCCAACTTTGTCTAAATTACAGTGTCTATTTCATAATAACTGAAAAGATCCCGTTTTAAGTTGGCAAAATGTTATTCCACGTTGAGGCTGTAACAAAAAAATCCGAGATTCTCGTCCCCATCTGATATTTGGCTAATTTCTTTCTTTTTGTATTAGTTTTCACCCCCAAAAAATGATGAAACATTAAATGGAAATCCGAAAAAAATCAACGTGTAGCTATAGGGCATTGTTTTTGAAATTTTTAGATAGTTGAATAGTTTTTAATGTATCACTTATCACATAAATGATCATATGTTGTGATTTTTTAAGACGGAGTATAAAGATGTATGCTTCAGGTAAATGCATGCATTTCAATTAATTCTGGGTATGTTTTTTAGTAGACTGTTTTTATTTTTTATCGCCTTGCATGGTGAATGGGACATTTCCTCCGGCTTATTTTTTTCCGACCTGCAGCCTGAAAATATTCTCCACGATGTCAACTGACAAATCTCAAGTAATAGCAAAGTAAAGATAATTGATTTTTAGTCCCTTACCAACGAAGTCGAAGGGGACTTTAGGTTTGCACTCCGTCCGTCTGTCTGTCCGTCTGTCTGTCTGTCCATCTGTCAGTCGGGCAAAGCAGCTTTCCACACTTTTTTTCTTCGTTCTTGAAGATATTGATTTGATATTTGGTATATAGTTTTATCATGACAATTAAGTTATAGATCAAGTTCAAATTTGGTTCCGGTCTGATGATTTAATCCAGAGTTATGGACCATAATTCTGGACCATATCTAATGTTAGAGTACTATGTTAAACCATATTTCTGTACATTGCCCCTTTACATACGTTTTTTCTTGTCTCTTCTCTAACTTAAGTTTTCCTCAACCAAATGTTATGAAGCTTATACACAATGCTTATTACCACAAAACTCAGATCAATTACGAATTTGTGTAGCGTGACTTTTACTGTTTTTGAGTTATGTCCCTTTAAACTAACGTTATATTTAAGCGGGGGTATCATTTGTGTCACATGGACACATTTCCCATTTATTTTATCCTCGTTTCCCCCTGATACCATTGGAATTCATATAACTGAAGAAAAGATTATTCATGTTATTTTTACAGAATACACTATGTTAAATCGTTTAACGGGTAAAGAAACCTACGAATCGTATGACATGCGCTGTATGGTGACTGGCCAGTTCGCCGTGGGAAAATCAAGTCTGGTGAAGCTATTAGTGGGGGACGTCATTCCCGAAGGAAGACATCCTACAGATGGTATCTCTCTTCTTGAAGGTCGCTGTGGTCTTGATGTCAAGACAAGAAAATGGATTCTTATAAATCCAGGTAAGAGTTGAAATACACAAAATGTTTGTTAATGCCCTGTCGCATCGGAGGGGGAAGTAAGTGTTACCCTTGTCCGTCTGTACGTCCGTCCAAGCATTATGTGAAGTTCGGACATACATCCCAAAATTAGTTTCTGTACTCTTACATTAGTTTGCCTCAACCAAATTTTTTGAAACTGATATACCATGCCCATTACCACAAAACAAAGAACAATTTTGAATTTTGGTGGCGTCCCTTTTAACGTTCTTGAGTTATGTCCCTTTATAACATTATATGCAAACAGGTATCATGTGTGTCCCATGGACACATTCTCAATCTATTTTAAAAGATTGAAGGTGGCTCGGCCCTTTAACATTGCACAGTTTTTAACGCATGTTTCTTAAGACGAGCTCCTTGGAAACGATCGCTTTGAGGGGTCTTCTAAAAATATAGTTTTGACAACCTTGGAACGCGGACATGTCTGAAAAGCACCCTTTCCCGATGTCAACAAGCGATGCAAAACTTTCTATAAAAAAGGAAATACGGTCAGAAATATAGAGTATATCCCTACTGAAAATGTAAAGTGGGATTTCACTGAAAATACCAGTGGAGTTCCATCAGAGTTCCATTGGAATACCACTGTATTACCACTGGGAAATTTGGTCGGGATTTTCATTGGACATTCATTGTTTTCCATTGGGATATCAGTGGAATATCCAGTGGGATTCCGGTGAATACTCGAGTGGAATAGTGGAAATTCCATTGGAATACCAGTGAAAACTTCGTTGGAATACCATTGTTTTCATTGGACATTTATTGTCCCGGAAATCCCGGAAATTGAGTTATCCAATCAAATCAGCGGTTATATAAAATTTAAAGTCTGGTAAAAAAAATGGCAGCCTCCATGAATGTAAACATGTGTGTTGAAAAACAACATTATAGACTACAGTTTCACGAATTTTCTGCTCAAATTATGCCAAAACACTGACATTTAGCGCACAATTGATTGGAGCGGATTATATGTGAAATGTTTCTATAGATTAACTTATATGACCCTAGTTCCAGTGCCGAGTTCAGGACATGAAAATGATGAAAAATTCATCACACCGACAAAGTTAAGATACCGAAACAGTTTATAGAACAATGTGGAAAACGAAAGCCGTTCACTTTATTTTTCTCAAAACAACAGTAGACCAGTAACAGTTAATGAACATGATGAAGTCAAAGGAGAAATAATTATATTATTGTATACATGTAGACTGTAGTGCAGGGCAGTTGCCAGTACGGTCACTTGAAGAAAAAAACGGAGTTATCCTAACAATTCGTACAGACTGAAGATAATTTCTGCAACAGATCTGTTTAAAAACGGCCCTTTTAAGAGCCATGCACATTTTTCAAAAAGAATCTTAATTGTTTTTGTTTGTTAAATCAAACAGAATCTTATTCTCAACCCAATTTGATATAAAATATTCATTTATTTATTTATATTATTGCACATTTAATTTTATTTCTTAATAGTTAAAATGTATCCTTTCAATGTGTCATACTCATATGCTTACAGCTATATGGTGATGCATTATATTATATTCACCCTACATCTGATGAGCTACCATTTTACTTATTTTATATGGGGGGGGTCTTTCAGACCAAATGATTATTTTCATTTGTTGCTAGGCAAGTGATTTCATATTACGTTTAACCATGTAACTTTTTTGAACAAATGTTTCATATACATGTATATGTAGGTTTATGAAATATTCATTACATCCCATATATTATCATGATTATAATATTTAATTTCTTATCAGGCCAGCAAATTATATGTTACAAATTAAATCCTTTATATAATAATCATGCACTTAATTATTTGAAAAATTTGAATTAGAAGTATATATTCCTTTAAATTTCAAAGTCCAAAATTCCACTGGAATATTTGCATTAAATCAAAACTCCACTGAAATATAAACAATAATATTCCACTGGAAATTTATTGGAAAATCTTTGGAAATTTCATTGGAAATTTCACTGATTTTTCAATGGAATTACAGTGTGAAAAATATTCCAGATGTTTTGGATGAAATTCTAATGGGATTCCTTCGGAATATTTTTTTCCACTGAATACCAGTGTAATTTCACTGGAAATCCAGTGGAATCCCGTACTCATTTTCAGTAGGGGTGGTTTGTTCATTTTTCACATAAATTTTAAATATAAGGACAGAAATATACATGATATAAGAATAAAGCAAAACAATAAAAATAGAAAAGAAAATATAGATATTGACATGTTGTTGTTGTACGACTGCCAATGACGCGATGTTTAACCGTAAACAAACAGTTAGAAAGGACTGCAATGTTAACAACTGCATGTCAAAAACAAGTAAAACTCATATATAGTATATGCTATGAAGGTTTCGGGGTTCATCTGCACGCTATCCGTTGTGCGTATTACTACATTTTGTCACTGTTAAAAATTCTTTTTTTTTTAACATGAAATATTTTCATTTTCAAGTATTGTCAGGATTTTATTCCGGAATATGTGAAATGTTTTCTCACTGCAAAAATTTGGTAATAGTATTTTTTTATTTTCTGAAAACAGTTTTGAACATAACAATTTTCAAGCAAAGACTAAATACTTGACAGTCACATCTAACATTTTAATTTACAGATGTGTATACTTTATTAAGTCATGGACACGAAAAAGCACTTTAAAACAACCACTGTCCTCTAACTGTAAATTTTTTTGTTGTATTTGTTAGCGTAAAGAGAATATCTAACAAATTCTCTCATATCATAATTCCATGATCTCCGGAACTTAACATAAAACCTCTGGGGCCAATGTTTTCGATTTATGATATTTTCTTTTACTTGTTTTGATATTTGTTATTTTGTATTTGATGTTTTATCTATCAATGTGCCAACCGAGTTTGCATTAAACATGTTAAAAAAGAGGAAATATCAGCGTAAAAACGTTAACAATTGAATAAGAATGTGTTATCACAATAGACTACCGGAACTCGAGCAACACATTTCACTAAATTGATTATTTGTTTTACTCAGAAAAAACCAGGTCTATGCAATTATCCTTAAATACCGCATGCTTTGTGGAGAAGCACAAAATTTTTGGTTTAAATAAGTCGGGGTTTAGCCTATAACACCAGCAGTCTACCGGGCAAATCCAAACACTACCAGCTAAAGGCCTTATATACACAAAATTTATACTACTTACTTGGTTCAGGAAAAGTTGGGATTGGAATTTTAAAACTCTGTGCAGTACACAGGAACGCTATATTAGGTGATATCGGCAAACTTTAACTTCTGTCTTACTTGTTGACATGCGTTTTTGTCGAGCCTTCGACTTTTGTCGAAAAAGCGAGACATAGCGATCCTACATTCCGTCGGCGTCGTCGTCGTCGGCAGCGTCCACAAATATTCACTCTGTGGTTAAAGTTTTTGAAATTTTAATAACTTTCTTAAACTATCCTGGATTTCAACCAAACTTGGACAGAAGCTTGTTTATGATCATAAGATAATATTCAAAAGTAAATTTTGTAAAAAAAAAATTCCAATTTTTCCGTATTTTACTTATAAATGGACTTAGTTTTTCTGCCAAGAAACATAACTTTCACTCTGTGGTTAAAGTTTTTGAAATTTTAATAACTTTCTTAAACTATCCTGGATTTCTACCAAACTTGGACAGAAGCTTGTTTATGATCATAAGATAATATTCAAAAGTAAATTTTGTAAAAAAAAAAATTCCATTTTTTCTGTATTTTACTTATAAATGGACTTAGTTTTTCTGCCAAGAAACATTACATTCACTCTGTGGTTAAAGTTTTTGAAATTTTAATAACTTTCTTAAACTATCCTGGATTTCTACCAAACTTGGACAGAAGCTTGTTTATGATCATAAGATAATATTCAAAAGTAAATTTTGTAAAAAAAAAATTCCAATTTTTCCGTATTTTACTTATAAATGGACTTAGTTTTTCTGCCAAGAAACATAACATTCACTCTGTGGTTAAAGTTTTTGAAATTTTAATAACTTTCTTAAACTATCCTGGATTTCTACCAAACTTGGACAGAAGCTTGTTTATGATCATAAGATAATATTCAAAAGTAAATTTTGTATAAAAAAAAATTCCATTTTTTCCGTATTTTACTTATAAATGGACTTAGTTTTTCTGCCAAGAAACATTACATTCACTCTGTGGTTAAAGTTTTTGAAATTTTAATAACTTTCTTAAACTATCCTGGATTTCTACCAAACTTGGAAAGAAGCTTGTTTATGATCAAAAGATAGTATCCAGAAGTAAATTTTGTAAAAAAAAAATTCCATTTTTTCTGTATTTTACTTATAAATGGACTTAGTTTTTCTGCCATGAAACATTACATTCACTCTGTGGTTAAAGTTTTTGAAATTTTAATAACTTTCTTAAACTATCCAGGAATTTTACCAAATTTGGACAGAAGCTTGTTTATGATATAAAGATTGTATCCAGGAGAAAATTTTGTAAAATATTTATTTCTGTTTTTCAGTTTTTTAGGTATAAATGGACTTAACATTGCATTCACTATGTGGTGAAAGTTTTTAAAATTTCTAATAACTTTGTTATTTTTATTAAGTTTGCAGAGAAGTTTCTTCATTATCAAAATATAGTATCCAGAGTATAATTTTGGAATTGATTTCATTATTTCATTGCAGGAATTTATTTACTGTGTTTCAGAGTCTATATGCCAGTAGGTAACACTTGTTTTTAGTTGTAGATGAACTTACTTATGATGGCACACAAGAATTACTGCTTATGAAAGTTTTCAGTTTATTAGTTCCCTAAGCTGAATGGACTTCACTTTTGCCTTATAGCTGTCAGTCCAAATCAGTTTTTCATGATTGAAGAGGACTATTTTTTTATGAGTTATTGTCTTTGTAAAAAATCAAAAGTATCACTTTAAATTTTTGAGTTATCTCTCTTTGTGTAGAGTTCAGTTAATAAAATGAAACTGAGAAATTAAATAAAGTTGAAAAAATAGAAAGATATTTTTTATAGTAGCATTTATGTATTTTAATTAATGATATATATGACACAGTCAGATCTTTTTGCAAAATATTTTTATAAATTAAAGACAGTTTAACACATTATTCACTTCATTCAAGTAATTATTGTACAGGTAAAAACTGTTCACTCTGATATATCAAATGGACAGGTGCAGTGTTGACAAATATATTGGACAATTATATATTGAAAGAAATAAGGTTGGTGTATTTTGTAATTTATGATATAATTTTAAATGTGATTGTTTTATATAAAATATTAAAGAACAAAAATATGATATGTGTATGTAAATAACATTCATTATTTTTATTTGAAGTTTTCCAAATCCAAACATATTTTTCACCCCTTGGTAGTTGTACCATTGATTTATGTTTATGTTGAAGTTAAGGATTCATCAACTTGAAACTAAGTACAAATGTTCATAATGAGATGATAGTTCTAAATTGTATGCCAAATTAGAATTTGACTGCAATTTCATTGTTCACTGAACATGGAAAATAATAGTGCAATTGGTGCATCTGTGTACTGTGAGGGGGGGTCAGACCTTTATCGGGACTCCAGGATTGGGTGTTTTTAAGCTCGGGATGTTGGGATTGATCCTTTCAGGATCCCGGAAATCTTTTTTCGAATTTCGGGATGACGGGATTGAAATTTCTTTAAGTTCAGGACCTCTGGATTTCATGTTTTTAAGCCCAGGATTTTGGGATCAGGACCCCTCCAACCCCCCTACTGTGGAAACATTTTCTTGTTTTTGTTTAGGACGATAAAACAAATCAAATCAAATATTGTGTGATTCCCCCAGGGGTGACTCCCAACCCCTGTCATTAAAGAATGTTATCATATCTGGTAAACTGCTGAGATCCCCACCCCTAAACCATATATATTCCTGTTTGTCATGTCAAATTGATTGGAATGATATACCTGGCTAGTCTCCAAGGTTCATCCCCAACCCCTGCCGTTAGAGAATTTTGTTGTCGTTTTCAGAGGTTACACATACATAACAATGATCTTTATTCTTTTATCTGTATTTATATATTAAAAGATGAAGTCTGATGCACATTTACCACATATCCTTCGTTTTTGTACATCACTATTTGGTTAATCAACAAGAATTATCAATAACTATTGGTTCATCACTATTACAGAATAAAAGTTACTTCACATACTGTTATTAAGTCTCCCAAACGAAGTTTGGGAAGACTTATTGTTTTTGCTCAGTTCTTATTATTATTATTATTCTTCTTCTTCTTCTTCTTCTTCCTCTTCCGCCGCTTTTAAATTTGAACTTGTCCGCACCCATTCTCCAAAATCGCTTGTCAGATTAACTTAGGGTTTCACAATATGTTAGACTAACATGTCTAGTGATGCAATCAGGGTTTTGTTTGTGCAATGGGGTTTATAAAGGGGTACTTTGAGGGGCAAAAAGAAAAGAGGGTTTTACTATAGAACCCTATGGGATTTTATTTTTAAAAATTTTCAAATGATTATAAATTGAAAACCGTTTGTGATAGACACAATCTTTTTAATTGAAAATGTTCTAAATGATAAAGCCCATGAAATGAAATACAGGGTTAGTCCCCAGGGGTCACCCCCACCCCCTGCCATTTAAAAAAGTTCTAATATCTTGTAAGTGGTCAAGATCCCCACCCCTAAACCATATATATTTTGGTTTGTCATGCTAAGATGGTTTGAATGATATACAGGGTTAGTCCCCAGGGGTCATCCCGACCCCCTGCCATTTGAGAAAGTTCTAATATCTTGTAAATGGTCGAGATCCCCACCCCTAAACCATATATATTCTGGTTTGTCATGATAAAGCACATCAAATGTATTACAGGGTTAGTCCCCAGGGGTCACCCCCACCCCATGCCATTTAAAAAAGTTCTAATATCTTGTAAGTGGTCAAGATCCCTACCCCTAAACCATATATATTCTGGTTTGTCATGCTAAGATGGTTTGAATGATATACAGGGTTAGTCCCCAGGGGTCACCCCCACCCCATGCCATTTAAAAAAGTTCTAATATCTAGTAAGTGGTCAAGATCCCCACCCCTAAACCATATATACTCTGGTTTGTCATGATAAAGCACATCAAATGAAATACAGGGTTAGTCCCCAGGGGTCACCCCCACCCCATACCATTTAAAAAAGTTCTTATATCTTGTAAGTGGTCAAGATCCCCACCCCTAAACCATATATATTCTAGTTTGTCATGCGAAGATGGTTTGAATGATATATGGGGTTAGTCCCCAGGGGTCATCCCGACCCCCTGCCATTAAAGAAATGTCTAATATCTTGTAAATGGTCGAGATCCCCACCCCTTAACCATATATATTCTGGTTTGTCATGATAAAGCACATCAAATGAAATACAGGGTTAGTCCCCAGGGGTCACAGGGGTCACCCCCACCCCCTGCCATTTGAGAAAGTTCAAATATCTTGTAAATGGTCGAGATCCCCACCCCTAAACCATATATATTCTGGTTTGTCATACCAAGATGATTTGAATGATATACAGGGTTAGTCCCCAGGCATCACTTATGCATATAACTTTACTGGACCAAACCAATTTTCATTGGACTTTGCCCAATTTCAGGCGACCATGGGAATTACGAATTATGGGAGCTTCGTTTGGGAGACTTCGTAACAGCATCCTGTTACAATCATTTCTTGTTTTAATGGATATATATTGAATTTATATTCAATTTCCATAACTCTTTATTTCAGAAATACAATGAAGATGAATCAATTTTCAATTGGTAACAAAGAAGCAAATATATATAATGGAAATATAAATTATGAATGCACGAATTGTAAAAGAATATACAAATCAGAAAAAACATTACTCAGACATAAATGCCCACATTGCATTACCTGCAGCAAATCTTTTTCATCTTTCCAGAAATTTAAAAGTCACAAATGTAATTCCACAACATATTCGTGTAATGATTGTCAAAAGAAATTTAAAGACATACAGCATCAGAATCAACATAAGTGTACCTTTTGTTCGAAATGTATGAAAATATATGCAACATATAACAACTTTGAAAAACACAAATGCAATGCATCAATTAGCAAGACAATACATCAGCCTTCTAAAATCTTAACTTTAATCAAGTCTGTTGGATCAGTTGGAGTATACATTGGAGACGAAGCAATTGTTGAAGCTCTTCGTATTTTAAGAAATCATATGAATAATGCTTATATTGGGTATATGACACCGCTTGAGATGCAATATGCTATTGACAATAGAGATCCTCCACCTCCTCCACCAATAATTCAGTCAATAAACATACATCATATACGTAAAAATAATCATTGGCTAACTTCTGTGTATGAACCTGCAGCATCTCAAATATATATCTATGACTCTCTTACAATGCCCTCAACCATGCAGGAACTTACACAACAACTAGAATTATTATACGGCAATGGTAGAAATGTACATTTTGTACCAGTCACACAACAAGGAACTGATCCAGCATGTGGTGCATTTGCAGTGGCTTTTGCATTTTCTTATGCGTTAGGAGTTCCTCCACAAACACAGCAATATATGATACCATATATGAGAGAGCATTTAAGACATTGTATTAAAAACTCATTAGTAGACCTTTTCCCTGCATACACAGATTCAAGATCAGATTATTTTTAGGCAATTTAAAAGAAAACAAAGATCAGATGCTTTATATACAGCAAACGAACTCTGCCAAAAAAAAATTAGACGACTAGATCCTATTTTCAGACAGAAAGAATGCAATAAGAGGAAAGGTAAACGACAGCCTGAATTGCAGCAGAAAAGAATCAGAAGAGAGATCCATGATTTTAAGCAGATGGAAATGAATCACAAAAGAACCAAGAGGGAAAGCCCTGATTTTAAGCTAAAGGAATTGAAACAGAAAAGGACCAAGAGAGAAAGCCCCAGTTTTAAGCAGAAGGAATTAAATCAGAAAAGAACCAAAAGAAAAAATCCCAATTTTCAGCAGAAAGAATTGAATCAGAAAAGAACCAAAAGAAAAAGTCCCAATTTTCAGCAGAAAGAATTGAATCAGAAAAGAACCAAAAGAAAAAGTCCCAATTTTAAACAGAAGGAATTGAATCAGAAAAGAAGCAAAAGAAAAAATCCCAATTTTCAGCAGAAAGAATTGAATCAGAAAAGAAGCAAAAGAAAAAGTCCCAAATTTAAGCAGAAGGAATTAAATCAGAAAAGAACCGAAAGAAAAAGCCCCAATTTTATGCAGAAAGAATTGAATCAGAAAAGAACTAGACGGCAAGATTCCTGTTATAGACAGAATGAAAATAAACAAAAGAGAAACAGAAGATCTAGCCCTAAATACCATTATAATGAAATTGTCAGAGACAGAATTTATAAACAAAAAACAAAACAAAATTGTGCAGCTAAAACTATAGAAGAACTTGTAAAGGCATTCAATTTATCCCTTCAGCATGGATGTATATATGTATGTTGCTCATGCAGACAACTTTGGTTCAAAGAATCTGTAGTTTCAGCATCTAAGTATAAAGATGTAGATGGAGAATGGATATGTCACACTTGTGCCAATGCCTTAAGAAAAGGTAAAATACCTCGATTATCCATTAAGAATAACATGGGTTTCCCCAACAAGCCACCTGCATTAAACTTGAATCAACTAGAAGAGAGATTGGTTTCTCCAGTTAATATATTTTTGCAAATGCGCGAATTACCTAGAGGTGGACAATATTTGATTAAAGGCAATGTAGTAAATGTTCCTTCTGACAACATTAGTACTGTTAGATCCTTGCCACGAAGAACTGATGACACTAATACTATACCACTCAAATTGAAAAGGAGGTTGCGTTACAGAAGCCACTACATGTATGAGAATATCAGACCAACAAAATGTGTAGAAGCTGTGAACTATTTACTTACAAAAGATCTTTTTAGAAAATATGTAACAGATGGTTTTAATGATAATTGGTTGCAAAATTCAAACATCAATACCAAGGAACATCAAAATGATGAACAAGTTATAGAGATCCCAGACCAACCATTAAAAAAAGAGGACATTTCTAATAATAATCGTCAAGAACAAATTGTCTATAAAGAAGATGAAGAGTGGAGTGAAGACGATGAAATAGAGCAGGATAATCAACCACTTGGAAGCATGGACACTATGTTAATTGACAGTGATTATACTGATGATGGTCAACATATTTTTTGCTGCGCACCAAGTGAAGGCAATCAACCAATCAGCATTTTCACAGATAATATTGAAGAACTTGCTTTTCCAACAATATTTTGTGGAGAAACTAGAACATCCAACAAAGGCCGTCAGGTTCCTGTCCAGTACAGTGATGACTGCAAACTTGAAATCCGTCATGAGGATAGACGTGTTGCATTGAATATTCCTAATTTGTTTTTTAAAACTAAAAAACTTCAAGTAAAGCAGATAAAAGATAAAACGTGGCTATCTGTAAGAAGGTTAAAAACAAAAGATAAAACATTTACAGCAGGAGACTTTAAAGACAGTGATACAGTTAACAAAATGGTTAAACTAGATGAAGGATATCGCATTTTTAGAACTATCAGAGGATCACCCCCATATTGGGAAGCTGCAAAGAAAGATGCTTTTGCAATGGTGCGACAATTAGGTGTACCAACCTTTTTTATAAGTCTATCAGCTGGTGAATCAAGATGGAAAGAACTACTGATTTCTCTAAGCAAAATAGTAGATGGCAAAGAAATTACTGAAACTGATGTCAACAGCTTGACATACCATGAAAAATGTCGACTTGTACAATCAGATCCTGTGACAGTTTCTAGATTCTTTGATTATCGTGTTCAAAAATTTTTCAATATATTCCTAAAGAATTCTCTAGAACCGATAGGCAAACTTACAGACTTCTTCTACCGTGTAGAGTTTCAGCAACGTGGTTCTCCACATATCCATGCAATTCTATGGATTGAAAATTCGCCAAAGTATGGTGTACAATCAAATGAAGACATTCAAAAGTACATTTCTAAATACCTATCATGTTCAGCATCCTTAGTTAAAGAAGACCTGGTAAAACTCCAAACACACAGGCACACACCCACTTGTGAAAAAAAGAGTAAAAAGGTTTGCCGTTTTAATTTTCCTATTCCACCAATGGGTAAAACATTGATATTAGAGCCCTTAGATGAATTAGGAAAAATTGAACAAAAGGAAAACTGGAAGAAAATCAGCACATTCCTTCAAGACAATAATAAAGGGATTGATAAAAACTTTTGATGAATTCCTTCAAATAATAGATATATCAGAAGAAAATTACATTAAAGCTGTAAGAAGTACTTTAAAAGATACAAAAATATTCTTGAAACGAAATCCAAATGAAATTAGAATAAATAGCTATAATTGTGACATGCTCAGGGTTTGGAATGCAAATCTTGATATTCAATATATAACAAGTGCATATTCTGTTATAATGTACATAGTCAGCTATATGAGTAAAGGCCAGCGTGGTATGAGTGACATCTTGCGACGTGCATCTGAGGAAGTTAAACAAGGAAATTATGAGATTCAGGAACAAGTATCACAAATAGGAAATAAATTTCTATGTCATGTTGAAGTAGGTGCACAAGAAGCTAGTTACCTGCTACTACAGATGCCCTTAAGAAGAGCTTCTCTTGGTTTTGTATTTGTGAATACATCATTTCCTGAAGAAAGACCATTCATTTTAAAAAGCCTTGAATTATTAGAACAACTTCCCGAAGATTCAACAGAAATTCAGTGTGGCAATATTATTAAAAGATATTCTTACAGACCATTTCTTTTAAAAGACATCTGTCTAGCAGACTTTGCCAGTAACTTTGATACAGTTAAGATTTACAAGAAAGCAAAGCCAAAAGGAAAGGAAAAAGATTTACCAGAGGACAATGATGATGACAATTTTGAAGATGATCCATACGACACTGATGATCATGATGAAGGCAATGCATCACTTGTCAAACTCACCAATGGAGATACAATAAGGAAAAGAAAAAGAAAAAAAAATTTAAGATATGTTCACTACAACATTGAAAAAGATTGTGAAAATTATTATCGTGAACAATTAATGTTGTTTTTTCCATGGTATACAGAAAATAAAATCATTGGAAAATGCCAATCTTTTGAAGAAAGATATGAGGAAGTAAAGGATGATGTACATCAAAAGAAAGGAGAGTATGAACAAAATGCAGAAGAAATTGCTAGAGCTGAAAATGATATTCAGAACTTTGATTCTGATAATGAAGATGCATACACTGATATAGCAACATGTACTCAACATTTAAACAATAGTGATGCAGATATTGTAGAATTCATTGACCAAAATAATAATGAAGACCTGTATGTAAATTATGATATTGGGCAAGACTTAGGAATCATGCAGGCAAACAAAAGCTGATGTGGACCTTGCATCAGGGAGTGATAACCATGAGGAACTTCTTATAAACAGAATGGCTGATATGGAATATAGAAAACTTGTACAATCATTTAACACAAAACAGAGAGAAATCTTCTTACACATACTTAAATCAGTTAAAACATTAAATGACCAATTTTTTATATTTTTAAGTGGAGGTGCAGGTGTAGGTAAAACAAAAGTTACTCGAGGAATATATCAGGCATTGCAGCGATGGTTTACTCGGAGTCCTGGTGATAATCCTGATACTAAATATATCTTGTTCACTGCTCCAACTGGGAAGGCAGCCTATCTTATTAAAGGTAGTACAATTCATTCTGCATTCAAGATACCTGCTAACCAAAGTTTAACGTACAAATCCCTTACTTCAGATAAGCTAAATACACTAAGAAAGGATCTTGGACATTTACAGGTTGTGATAATAGATGAAGTATCTATGCTTGGATGCAATATGATGAATTATATTAACTTTAGACTTCAAGATATTATGTCTATACGCAAACCATTTGGTGGTGTCAGTATCCTGGCTGTAGGTGACTTGTTTCAACTTCAACCAGTCAAGGATGGATGGATTTTTCTACACTGTAAGAAGGATTATGGCCTCTTAGCTTCTAATGTATGGAAAGATAACTTCAAAATTTTTGAGTTAACACAAATAATGAGGCAAAAGGATGATCAACAATTTGCAGAATTGTTAAACAGAATGCGTGAAGGAAAGCAGACTGAAAACGACATAAAAATTTTAAAAGAGAGAACTATAAATACAGCAGATCAAAATTACCCATATAGTTCAACACATATTATATACAACAACCACGATGTTAATAGTTACAATGACAAAATGTTTGATCTTGCTAAGTTCACAAAAATTACTAGTCATGCTTCAGATACTGTGATAGGGGATGTCCCAGATAGCATAAAACATGACATACTGGCTAGAGCCCCTCACAAGGCAGGAGATGCAATGGGATTAGGAAAAGTTTTTAAAACTGCAGTTTCACTGAAAAATGAATTGACAATAAATCTAGATGTTTCAGATGGATTAGTTAATGGAGCCTCATGTACAACCAAATACATTGAAAAAGGAATTATATGGGTCCAATTTGACAATGCAGATTGTGGCAGACAACTTAGACTAGCAAGCAGACATTTAATCAAAAGAAATATTTTACAAACATGGGTTCCAATTAAAAGGGTAAGAAGAGAATTTTCAGTGGGACGATACAAGAATGC